ATCCTTTGTGTCACTATACCCCACTCCCTCTAGAATGTAAGCTCATTGAACAGGGCCCTCCACCTCTCTGTTCCTGTACATCCAGTTGTCTGTTAGTCCACCCATTGCACAGCGCTACGGAATCTGATGGCGCTATATAAATAATAAAATAATAATAATATTGTCTCAAGGTGGACAGAACCAATGATATCCACACCTAATTACATCTCTCAAGCAGGTTCAGCCACGATAACATTATAATCCGGGCCTACCTGATCCAACTGGAGAGGTCTCTCAAATTAAATTCATACCCAACATATTTGGGTCTCCATTGACAGACACGGAGGGCTGAGGATAATACTCCCAGGGACTATATTGTCCATTTAACCACTGAGGAGGTCATTGTTAAAAAGTGCAGAGGTCGCATGGCCTCATATCAGGGAAAGTCTTTGCAAGATCTATTGTCCTTCACTTGTAAGAAATGTCAGCAGTGGAAGCTTATGGCAGACCTTCTATAATCCCACAAAACTGTTTGCATGGGGCCAACCTTTTGGCATTTAATAACGGCAATACATTTGCTGCCTTCAGAGACACATTCAGGCGAACTCATCCCCTCTCTATTGCCATTATTGGACATTTACAGAGTATGATTTGCAGGAGGCCAAACATTAACCACCTCTTTCCTGTTGCACTAAGTTGGAGAAGTCCTGAATGAAGAATATTTGTGGGTTACCGTTTGAGGCTTTCTTGGCCTGATTATGTATGATGGGGCACTTGGGCCTACCTCTGCGGTGTAACTGTTTTTTTTTTTTTTACTTACCGTGTACTTGTTTTGCATTAGGCTCTTTTTTTTTTTCCAACTTGAGCTTTTCTTTTTTTTTTTTTATTCTTATTCTTTATTTTTGTTGTGCGGGAGGTTACAGACATATCAACAGGCGCCACAACAGCGTATCTCATGATTCACATAGATTAGACAGTGGCGTGATAATTCGCACCTTTTTTTATAGTTTGCACGCTTAACTAAACAGTTATTCCAACAGAGTGAGATTTAGCTAAAATAACTAGCATAAAGAAAAAACAATAGTTATTGACACCTTTATATGTATGGTTAGTCGATTAGCAACAGAGAGTGTCAGCTAGTGGCACACGTTATAGGTCTAGCTCACTGCACTGTTTATAAAATACCCTTTAACATCTAAACCTACATACTTGTGGAATGTGTAGGTGCTAATATGTTGTTAGACATAGGTTAAAGCACGCTAAGGGAGGCTAGAGTGTGGCTTCCGAACATTACTATATTTTCATTGTTAAAGTCATGCTTGTGACCCTTAGCTAGTCTCGGAGAGGAGAGGTCTATTGCTCATTCTCTGGTGCTGAGGGTTTCCCATACGCCTGTAATCATTAAACATATGAAACATAATAAACTTTGATAGTGGATAGTCTATTGAGGCTATACTCCGGAGAAAGCAAACAAGTAAGAGTCATTTGAAGTGAGGGTAATTCCGCTGGGTGACAGTGGGTTGATCGGCACAAATGGTTTTAGTCCTCGAGGCAGACAGTTTGTAAGGTATTCTTTGTTCAGCCCACGCCAGTCAGGCAAAGTCCTGGTGCCCCTATAGAGTGTCCCTGGGTCCCCATTTGGGATCGGTAAGTGGTCATGGGTTGGTGGGGTTGGTTGGTCGTACCTTGTTGCTGGTGTTGGGTTGCCCCAGATATAGTGGGTGCTTGATATGGGCTTGCAGCGTGAGACTGTATGTGCGGGGACGTTCTCTGTTGGTCGGTGGCTTCGGTTGCCGCTGAGCGTTGAGTGGGTCGGGCAAACCCGGTGGTCCTGCGCTGCCGTGTGTGAGGGCTGGTGTCGGTGCCCGGGAGGCCCGTCTCCGCTCCCCGCCACTCCGATTTCCCACCCTGTCTCTGTCTGAGGGCCGCTCTGGGGGCTCGCGGCGGACATCCGCACAGGAGGCGTCGGGTGGCAGGGCGAATCCATGCCGCCGCCTCTTTCCTTCGCCAGCTTGAAGATCCGACCCCTGTTGTAGAGTTTAGCCCATAGGCTAGTACAGAGCTGTTCAAAGAAGTCCAGTGTGCTATTGGGTGGTTTTGCAGGGGAGCTGTTTGACGCCGGTCGTGCCCGTGGCGCCATTTTGTTTGGGCCTTGACAGCCTCGTTTTTCAGTTAGTATTGTCGCTTGTTCATGCCTTGTTGTGGGGTAATCGTCCCCAGCGTGGACCGGGATATCCCCCGCCGGTCCAGAGGGGGGGGTGGCTGGGCATCATGCATTTCTCGCTTTTTAGCAGGTCCCGTGCCGGGCGATCGGCCGCTTCCCCCAGGCTTCAGGCCCCGCTGAAAGATAAGCCGCATGGCCGGTTCGTGTGCTGGTGTATCGTTGCAGTGCATGATAGGTACTGTTTTGTTCCTCATGTGGTTCTGTGTCGTTTTCTGGGCACCATGGGTTGTTGGCTTGGTAGGATTTACCAGGATTCTCGATTTTTGTGCCCTCCAGTGCAAGAGCTCTTAGAGAGCACGACTGGCCATCTTGGCTGTCAGGCCCCGCCCCCCAACTTGAGCTTTTCTGTTCAGTTAGATTTACAGTTGGCCAACATACACTATCCTCAGCCCTACTGGATTTTTGTCTTAGTTCATAATAGTTTGATTTAGTTATTATTTATTTGGGACTTTTTGAATCACTTATCTCAAAGTTACCCACAGTTTAATTACTTGTGCAATTTCCATAGGTTGACACAGTTGATATCAAAGGTAGACAAGACATTTGTAAACTAGTTAAATATCAAAGACAACAAGTAACAAAACAAATAACAAAACTGAAAGAAAAGCAAAACAACAAACAAAACTAACAAAAACTCCCCCAAAAAAAAACATACAAAACTAAAAAAAAAAGCAACGTAAACCCCAAATTCTAAGCTGGATACAACAGAGAAATCCCATACTCTCAAACTGTTAATTCTCTTAACACCCTACTAACTCTCATGTTAGCCACCCTGTATAATCTTAAACCTCCTTTAAAGGGGCACTATAGTCATCTGAACAACTTTAGCTTAATGAAGCGGTTTTGGTGTATAGAACATGCCCCTGCAGCCTCACTGCTCAATCCTCTGCCATTTAGGAGTTAAATCCCCTTGTTTATGAACCCTAGTCACACCTCCCTGCATGTGACTTGCACAGCATTCCATAAACACTTCCTGTAAAGAGAGCCCTATTTAGGCTTTCTTTATTGCAAGTTCTGTTTAATTAAGATTTTCTTATCCCCTGCTATGTTAATAGCTTGCTAGACCCTGCAAGAGCCTCCTGTATGTGATTAAAGTTCAATTTAGAGATTGAGATACAATTATTTAAGGTAAATTACATCTGTTTGAAAGTGAAACCAGTTTTTTTTCATGCAGGCTCTGTCAATCATAGCCAGGGGAGGTGTGGCTAGGGCTGCATAAACAGAAACAAAGTGATTTAACTCCTAAATGACAGTGAATTGAGCAGTGAAATTGCAGGGGAATGATCTATACACTAAAACTGCTTTATTTAGCTAAAGTAATTTAGGTGACTATAGTGTTCCTTTAATCTAACCACTTCTTACATTATCTTTAACCTTGCACGCAATAAAGTAGGGCAGCACTGCCAGAATGGGCAAAAGTTAGAAATCACTATTTAGTAGATATACTCCCATTCATTTTTCATACATGTATTTATTTGGGGTATATCTTAAAAGATCTTGCAAAAGCTGCAATTCTTATGGCTCTTGCCTTTTACATCACTAGAGTGACACCAAAATGTAAATGATTTGTGATGCCGAAATTATGCCAAACTTATGTCAATACTTGCTACATGTTTAGTGTAGATATTACTGTTCTATTTTCTCTTTACACTGCCTCTCTTGGCAAACTTATTACCTCTCTCGGATTCCAATACCACCTGTATGCTGATGACAACCAGATATATCTCTCCTCACCGGACCTCTCCCTTGATGTCCTGCAACGTGTCACCTCTTGCCTTTCTTCTGACAAATAATGACATACACACACACTATTACTTGGACACACACTGACTGACGCACGCACTCACTGACCGACACATACATACTTACTTACCCACACACTCACAGACACACACACTTCAAGTTACAGACACACACATCCACTTACAGACACACACACACTTTCAGACACATACACATTTCTCCCAACACTCACAAATTATTATTTTTTAAATTTTATTTTAAATCCACCCAGCCTCCCTGGGAGAGCTGGAGTGGATTCCTTACCTGCAGTCCAGTGTGACTGCTGGGCAGGCAGGCAGAGGACAGGCTGAGTTGACGGCGAGGGAGCTTTAATCTTCCTGCTCAGCTCCCTCGCACGCCTCTTAGTGATGCCGCGAGCCGGTCTGACGTCATATTCCGGCCCCTGGCTTCATTAAGCGGCGCAGAGGAAGCTGAGCAGGAAGAGCTCAGGTAAGTATGCTCCCTCGCTGCCTGCCTCGAGGGGGCTCAAAAGTGGCCAGCCGGCCTGCTCTTGAGCCCCCCAGGATACCAGGCAAACAAGGGATCTGCATGGGCGTTTGGGGGCGGCTTTTTTTGCCGCCCCCTGCAAAGTGCCAGCCAAGGCAAATGCCTTGTTTGCCTCACTATAGACACGTCCCTGGCATTTCCAAATATTCATACGGCCAGTTCAGGTGTTGAAAGCAGTTTTCCATTTGTACCCCTCCTTTAGATTGCATGCCCCTCTAAGGTCGTGTTTAGTGAAGTATCTAGGTCCCTTAAGATGGTCAAACAACTCTGTAATAAGAAGGACAGATCTATTGCACATTCACACTGATATAAAAGGGTTACGCCGGGGGCGTGGCCTGACCTAGGATGGAGTGAGACGCACGGTGCCTGTGCTCCTAGGCCTCACCCTGTTTAGCCCGTAATCTACAGCATCCAGACCTGTATAAACCCTGCTAGGATGGGGAAAACTAAGCGTGCACTCAGTGCTGGACAGCCTGGGGGGGCTCTGCTGCGGTCCCAGACCGGCCCGATGGATGACTACCTTGCAGGGCCGCCGGGTCTGTCGGACGCCATTGATCTGCCGATTCCCGCCTCACCCAGCTCCAGCATGGCCGGATCATCTCGCGGCACTAATGAGCCAGCTGCCCTCTCCCAAATATCGCTAGACATTGCTGCCATCTGGTCCAGCATGCTCACCAGGCGGGACAAGTCTGAAATGGTGGCTGAGCTGCGGGCGGTGATCAGAGAGGAGATCGCTGCAGTGCGTGCGGATCTCACCGCCCTGCGGACCTTGCGACCACCAGGCAGGGGAACCTGCTCCTAGCCCTCCGCCGGCAGGTCGAAGATCTCGACAATAGGGGCCGGCGGAACAACATTAGGATCCGGGGGCTGCCGGAGGCAGAAGGGGAGCTTCCAGATGAGCTACTCACCGGCCTGTTTTCGCAATTGTTGGGGGAGACAGCGCCAGACGATTTTGGCATTGAGCGGGCGCATAGGGCTCTGCGGGCGCCCCGGCGTGATGGGATGCCGAGGGACATGATCTGCGCCCTGACGTCCTTCCCGCTCAAAGAAGAACTGATGAAGGCCGCGCGCTCCCGTCCTGATCTCCGATACATGGATGCCCCGGTGGCCTTGTATCACGACCTGTCGCAGACAACTCTGGACACCCGGCGGGCCTTGCGGCCGCTTACCCGCCTGCTCCAGGAAAGAAGAATCCCGTATAAGTGGGGTTTCCCCTTTAGCCTGCAGGCCCGGGTGGGCAATATGTGGCATGTGCTTCAGTGGCCCAACGATGTCCCCCGGTTTCTCAGAAATGCGGGCCTTCCCCATATCACTGTCCCGAACTGGATCTTGGGGGAGCCCCCGGCTAGGGCGTCGGGCCCCGACGAGGCTGCACACAACCTTCATCCGGATCCTGAGATGCCACGACGCAGAGGAGGGCCGAATGGCCCAGAAGAGTAGCGGTTACCTGCTACGCCTGGTGGCGGTCCCCCGAGGGCTATCGGATCAGGCAGGGCTCCCATCGGACCTCAGCCCCTAAGTCACGGGACTCTCGGCTGCCCGGCTGGGGAGGGGGGGGTCACCCCAGCCCAGGGTATGTACTGTGGTGGACTACGCTCTAGAGAAGTTTGCTGCCTGGGGGAGGGCTGGTAGTTAGGTTGGGTGGCAAGGGTTAAAGGGGTGTGGAGGCAGTAGCGGGCAGATTTCGGGTGGGTTCCACCGCAGGTGGGGAGGGCAGGGGGGTAAGTGCTGGACTGGGCTGTGGAGCTGTTGGGGACTGGCTGAAGACGATGGCTTTGGGGGACAAATTTGTACTCTTTTCCCCCCCTCCCCCCCCCCTTTTTTTTTATCTCTCTCTCTCTCCCCTCTTCCCCTCTCATATTGCCTGCCTACAGTGGGGAGGTCTAGGTTGGGTGCATGGTTATGTGGTGCTTAGTGGCGCCGCTGGGTTGGGGGTTTGGGGAGGCGGTGGCGCCACCTTACGGCAGTTCTCACCATTGTTCCTTTTACGCTGGGGTCATCCCAGGTGGCGGCCCACGCAGAGGTAGGGGTACTTGGCGATTGGGGTGAAGGGGGGTATTGGAGCGGGCGAGGGGAAGGCCGCTACTAGGTGGGGGTGGCTGCTTGGGTTTAGGAGGGGGAGGAGGGGGCACGAGGGAGGGGGCGGTCTCCAGTAGTCCTCGCAGGAGGGGGGAGGGAGACCCTGGTTCAGGCATTGGGAGGTGGGTGGAGGCTCAGTCACATACGAAGGGGGGCCCCGCCTCGCCCACAGGAAAGCCCTAGGCATGGAATGGGCATCTTACCATTATGCGGTCACCTAGGCACCGGTTGGGCTGATGGGCGATCCCTGGGTAGGCGAGGTAGGGAGGTATTGGGGTGTTTTACGGTTTTCTTTCTTGGGGCTGGGGGCCAGAGAGGGGAGCACTCCTAGCTTAATCTATTACGGTCAAGGGGGGGAGGGGCGGGGACCCAAGACAGGTTGGTGGCACGCGGGGGGCGCAGGCTGGGGGCGGGTTGAGGGCACACGCAAGCCGCACCCCCAGGGGGGCTGTTAGATGGGGCAGTTCACATGTTTTCTTTCAGTTATTAGTGTTTCAGTTATTAGTGTTTTAGCCTCTGGATTCGTCATCCGGGGCTTCTTCATCTCCGAGAGCACCAAACGCAAAAAGGACAGACGAGCTCACATTTCCAGCTTGACCAAGCGTATCGCTGACTTAGAAGGAACTCATAAGCAAACCCTAGCTGAGGACACCTACCTCCAACTGGTGGAGGCACGTAGGGACTTGCAAAAGATTCTGTCGCAGGGGTTCTTGCTCACCGCTAGGAAGGCCTCTAGGTTCTTCTACGAACACTCCAATAAGTGCGGGAGATTGTTAGCCCGGATGCTCCGGGAAAAACGCAGGATGCTCCATGTCCATAAAATACGCACGGGGAATGGGGATACTACACGCCTCCCAAATGGCATACTGTCGGCATTCCAGGAGTATTATGCGGCTCTTTACGACCAAACGAAACACCGCACAGCATCAGAGGTACGGCAACATAAGGAGAGGATAGTGGAGTACTTACAAACCCATGTTACACGCAGACTCACTCCGGAGCAGGAGGCGGAACTGGAGGTCCCTTTGTCGGTGGAGGAACTCGCGGCGGCGCTGAAGGCCACCAAGACTCACAGGGCACCAGGGCCGGACGGCTTACCAGCTTCTTATTTACGGACGTTCAGGGATATCCTCCTACCCCGACTGGTCGCAGGGCTCAACTCCTTACGGGAGGAAGGCCGCTTTCATGAAGACACATTGAGGGCAACGGTTACGATCCTCCCGAAGGAGGGCAAAGACCCCATGGACTGTGCCAGCTACAGACCAATTTCCTTGCTCAATGTGGACCTTAAAGTGTTTGCCAAAGCGCTGGCACTACGGATGGCTAGGACCCTGCCGGAGATTGTGCACCCGGACCAGGTCGGTTTCATACCCGGCCGCGAGGCCCGGGACAATACCATCAGGGCCCTTAACGCGGTCCACGTAGCTCGATCCGGTGGGAGGGAGATGGTACTCCTTTCTACTGACGCCGAGAAGGCGTTTGATAGAGTTGACTGGACTTATCTGCAGGAGACCCTGGGAAGCATGGGGTTTGGGCCGGGTCTCAGGGCATGGGTAGCGGCGCTGTACACGGAACCAACGGCGCGTATACGGGTGAACGGAGCATTAACGGGTGTGTTCCGGATTTCCAATGGCACGCGTCAGGGCTGCCCGCTGTCCCCCCTCCTGTTTGCCCTCACACTGGAGCCCTTCCTGGAGGCGGTGAGACGAGATGGGGGCATAGCGGGGTGCCTGGTAGGGGGGGAGGAGCATCGGGTGGCGGCATACGCCGATGACATGCTCTTCCTCCTCGAACAGCCCAGAATCTCGCTACCGAACTTAATAGAAGCTTTCCGACTCTATGGCTTAGTTTCTAACTTGAAGCTCAACCTGGCCAAGTCGGAACTGATGCCACTCACACGAGACCCGGCACTTCGTAGACACATCCAGGCTCATTTCCCCTTCCGGATTTGCTTGCACAAACTACGGTACCTGGGCATCTGGATACCGTGTGATCTAACTCAAGCATATTCCATGAATTTTGTCCCCCTACTCACAACTCTACAACAAGACATGAAGCGCTGGGCCCCCCAATATATATCCTGGTTCGGACGCATAAATGCCATTAAAATGAATGTCATGCCCCGTATATTGTACTTGTTCCAGACGATCCCAGTCATTATACCAAGGAACTTCTTCCAAACGTTGTCATCCGCCTTTAAGCAGTTCGTATGGAACCGGAGAGCTGCCCGTATTCGGCAGTCGATCCTGGAACGTCCTAGAAGCGAGGGAGGCATGGGCTTGCCTTCGGTCCTTACTTACTACCGGGCTACACACTTGGTTCGTCTAGTGGACTGGCACGCTGCTCCGAGCGGGAAGCGGTGGGTAGACATGGAAAAGACACAGGCAGGGGAGGCAAAATTCCGTCCCAGTTGTGGCTGGGAGATGCCACGTTCCAGGAACTACGAACGGCAACCCCTTGGTGGATGCGACTTTAAAGGTCTGGTGTGGCATCCGGTTCTCTCTACAACTCACGTCATCGCCAAATCCTCTTACGCCCGTGACGCATAACCCAAGACTGGCAGGTGGACTCTCCTCAGGTGATCTGAGGAACTTTGGGGCCACGGACTGGATATACCTGCACCAATGGTGTAGTGGTCCGAACCTCAAACCGCTGGCTATGCTGCTCCAAGACCGCAGACCCAGCGGCTTGGACAACTTCCGGTACTACCAGCTTAAAACCTATGTAACCTCGCTAACTGGGAAGGCACACCTCCACCGCCCACTGTCCCACTTGGAACAAATCTGTGCCGCCAGACAGCATCTCATCCATGGCATAGCGCAACTCTACTCCATGTTGCAGAGTTGCGAAGACCAGGCCCCACTAGGGTTCACGGTACGGTGGGAGACGGAAGCAGGGGTCGAGCTATCTACCTCTGAATGGCAAAAGATCTTTCAATTGACGCACAGGGGGACCATTTGCTCCAAGTTCCAGGAGTGCAACTACAAGATACTGGTGCGTTGGTATAGAACTCCGGACATTCTTCGTCATGTCCACGAATCTCTATCAGGAGAGTGCTGGAGGTGTGGAGATGCGGATGGCTCTGGGATCCACATGTGGTGGTCGTGTCCCCGCATCGAACCTTTCTGGAGAGCGATACATAAAGGGATTAAAGATGTTACTGGGACGGACATCCCATTCCAGCCGCTGCCAATGCTACTGAATCATACGAGCATGCCTATTTCCGCTTACAAGAAGGGCTTGGTAATACACCTTCTCACGGCAGCAAAATCCCTCATCCCCATGCTATGGAGAAGTCAGGTAGCCCCCTCGCTCCACCAATGGATTGACAGGGTGGAAACGATTTACAACATGGAATTGATGACTGCGTCTCTGCAGGGGCGCTCGGATAAATGTGCGCTCAAATGGTTTCCTTGGACGGAGTACATGGCCAGGGGGGCCGCGGGGGGAGCCCGGCCGGGGGAAGGTGGCGCTCTCGCACTGGTACGGCTTTCCTCACCCACAATGACTTGACTGTGCCGGGGCGCCTCCCTGTTTAGGGGGGGGCACACTTCCCCATCCAGGCGACTATGACTTCCCTTCACACGCCCCTCAGTCCCTCCCAGACAGACGACACACGGAGACACTTACCCGAGAGTAGGCATACAGGCTCACTCACCCCCTAACTTAGCATTCAGAGTGTTTTGGGGATGGGGGCTGGAAGTACAGAGCAAGGACTGGAGCTAGTCCACGGAGGCGTAGGGGGATAGCGTGTTGGAGAGGCTTCTGAATACCTTGGGAGCGGATGGGTGTTGTACAGGACGAGAGGGGTCGGAGTGGAGGGATGGGGGCTAACAAAGCATCTGGATGGTACGAGGGGAGGTCCTCTGGCGCCTTCAGCCTCACACACTTGGCTCACCCCGGGCCTCAGACTCAATACAGGCGATGGTACCTGATTTGACCCCCAGGGGGCTCAGGATACTTACGCTAGGGGAGGAGAAAGGGCACGGTGACCTCGGAAGGCAACCTGCAGCGGACGGACCTCGCCCACGAACCATCAACCCAGTGTATGAGGTCGGAGGGTACCGAGGGAATACTGGGCCAGGGGCGAACCCATTAGAGGGCCTCCTTGAATACGGTGGCAGGGGTAACATGCAGTTTAGAATGCCCGGTCAAAAGGCAAAAGGACAAGCCACATATCCCATGCCCCACCCGGCGCATGGGTCACATGTGCTCTCCGGTGGTCCCGAGATTGCGGTCCTGTTTGCCGCGCAGATATACCAGCGCAGTCTAAACTCTAGCCTAACTCAAATGCTAAGATTCTGTCAAATTTCCGGATGTTGTGGTGGCCTATCTGGAGTATGTTACTTTTACTACCTGGCTCCTGTATAAGGAGATGAACATGTTTGACTGTGTGTATTGATCTAAACGTGCTGTATAAAATAAATGGAAAAATAAAGATTGTCAAAAAAAAAAAAAAAAGGGTTACGCCAAGCACCATCACAATTTTGAGTTATGACATAGTTGGTGGTGCATAGAACCACTGGATCTGTTCTTAGCTCTGATCGTGACTAACTGCATCAGTCTTTAAAAATTACACAGCTCTCAGCTAGCCACTCATAGTTATGTAACGTGGATCTCTAAACCAGTATTCATTTTGTCCTACTCTGACTGAGCTCTATTAACGTCTTTATCAACATCTTGATGAACTGACAAAAATCATTTGGTGTCATTTCAATTCTTTTTTTTTTTCTCTTTAAATCTTTAGATTTTTATTTTATTTTATTTTTTTACATTGACCGACTCAAAACACATATTTGATATATATATTATTCTGGAAGCTATGATGTGCATAAGGACTGCTTTAAAAGTTAAGGTGAGATAGCAAAGATATCATGATTGGGACTTGGGAAGTGTCATTCTCAGGACATTTGTATGTTGATGATTAATGACTTCCACTGTAATAGATTTTTGTACAAGCCCTGAAGAAATACAAAATGTAATACATATCTGTAAAAATACGGATTTAATAACTGATTCCTTCTATCCTATCTTTCCTGTACTGTAAGATTACTGTAACACACATTAATATCACATCAGTGATATAGAACCTTGAGTAAGTCCACTGGACTGACAGATTCTTATAATAGTCTATTGATTCCTTCTACAGTACTCCAGGGAGGGTACATATTGTCTTACAAAATAACAGATCTTTGTGTCAGTCTCCTTGCTCTGCTAAACTAAAAAAAATAACTGGTAGCAATCATTGCTAAGTATAGCACTACCCTGAATCTATAGTTGTAATCAAAATGAACTCACCTCCATTGACAATCAAGATTATTGTCTCCATTTACAGACTTTCAGCTGTTTGCCATGAACAAATCAAACAATTGAAATAGCTTAACACAATGAATGCTTCAAATGGTTTCCCCGAATTCAACTGAAAATGCGACTTTTAATGACTTCTCCAGTCTCAAAATTATTCAACACCTTCATGGCAAGCATCTTTATTACTTAGAGGAGCACATGTTTGCTGTTACGACTTGCTGCAAATGAAATGCATAGCCAGACACATGCTTCTAGCAGTGTTCCTAAGAAACTTGTTGCTTGTGCTCCAATGGTCTCCAGTTCAGTAATATTCTTGGGTTTGCATGCTGCAACCGCCTTCCTCAAATCCCACAAGAGATTTTCTATGGAGTTCAAGTAAGTTGACTATGATGTCCAGTGTAGAATTTTCTAGGACTTCTTCTGCAACCAAGCCTTGGTGAAATTTGAGGTATGCTTGGAATCATTGTCTTATTGGAAGGTCCAATGACACCCAAGCTTTAACTTCCTGCATGACATTTTCTCCTAGGATTTCTTGATGCTGCAATGAATCCATCTTGCCTTCCACATGCCTTCACTGGTTAATTTGTGATTTTCCAACTGCATATATTTTATTGCTTTGAAATTCAAAATAAATGTGTAATGAATCTATATCTAAGTATTTTCCAGAGCCAGAGGATGCAAAGCAGCCCCGGAACATCACCGAGCCACCACCATGCTTAACTGTAGGCAGAATGTTCTTTTCAAGGTATGCTTCATTCTTCTTCCTGCAGGCATATCACTGATCTATTTAGCCGAAAAGTTCTAGTTTTGTTTCATCGCTCCAAATAACAGCATCACAAAAGTTCTGTGACCTATTTATATCATTTTGAGCATATTGGAGACAACCTTTCTTGTGCTTTTGGGTCAGTAGTGGTGTACGTCTTGAAGTTCTGGCATGGAAACCTTCTGCATTTAGTACGCGCCTTACTGTGCTCACTGAATCCTCAGTGCTGGTTGTCACCAAGTTTTACTGCAAGTCTATTGCAGTCACTCAAGGGTTTCTCACAACCTGCCTTCTCTGAAATTTGGTTGCAGCCATTGATGGCTTCCTCTTTCTGCCCTGTCCATGTAGTGTAACAACTGTTGATTAAACTTTGAACTTGCGAACTATGCTTCCAACAGTGTCTCTAGGAACATTCAGTGCTTTTGCTGCCTTTTTATATCCTGTTGCTTGTATGTAAAGGGCAATGATCTCTTCTCTTAACTTTGTGATCCATTCTTTTGACTTAGCCATATTTCAAAAGTGACACCCAGCAAACCCCTAGCCAGTTCAGGTATTAAAATTGTTCCAGCACAAGCACACATGGTGCAACTAATGAAGCCATTTATTAGTTGCATTAGGTGTGCTTGAGACACCTGTTTTGCATGTTTGTGCTGTTGTAAGGGATTCTATTCAGGGGGATGAATACTTTTGAGATTGGTGAAATCATTATAAGTGACGTTTTTAGTTTAATTTGGGGAAACCATTTCAAGCATTCATTGTTGAGCTATTTCAATTGTTTTTGTTTCATTTATTCATTGCTAACAGCTGATAGACAGTCTGTAAATTTTGCAAATAAAGCCAATTTTTAATGGGGGTTACATAATTTTTTATTACAACTGTACATACATTGACTCACAAAGGCTGCATACACAAACACATAATGCAAACAGTTAATAATAAAACATTGACTGGTAGGCTGATACACGTAATCACACTGACACAGAATGACTCATACAGGAGACACACATTTATAAGATGTCACATAGGTGGAAAGGTGGAGATGGTTTTATACTTGTGGGGTAACCTGCTTGGGGAGTGCTCTTCATTGCAGTAAATGATCAATTCTAAAATATTCCTTTTCTAGAAAATCTAGAACATACATGAAAAGTCTGTACCTTGTATTTCCAAAACAACGATCTCGAACAATAATGCTACATTCTTGCCACTTTGGTTTGTTATTGTTTTTGCTTTTTTGTGTTTTTGTTTTTTCAAATTACCATTATGTGCATTTCTGTGAATAGGTATAGCTTTCTTTTAGTGGTTAACATTTTATAGAATTAAAGGAACAGTCAAGACACCATAATCACTACTACACAATGTAGTGATTATGGTACCTGCCTTTGCATCCTCCCCCATTGAAAGTATTAATCAAACCATTTTCGAATTGTTTGTCTTCTCAACTCCTTCAGGCAGCATTTCCCACCTTCACCTATTGTAGTGGTTATGGTGCTTGGGTGTTCCTTTAAATAGAATCTACTGTTGGTGCTATTATATTATAATTGAATGCAGAAATATAATTTTTTTATTTACGAAGTAAGAAGTAGGTATTACATGTATGTATATCACTGGTTAATTTGTGATTTTCCAACTGCATATATTTTATTGCTTTGAAATTCAAAATAAATGTGTAATGAATCTATATCTAAGTATTTGTATGAAAGATCAAGTTCAAATTAATAATCCTGGCTGTGCGTCAGTCCAGGAGTACTTCATGGGTGAGGTTGAATTTACTTACTAGTAACCAGAGAGCTGAACCATGTCACAGAGAATATATATTTTTTTCTAAATACAATTTAAATTATCGGGGGGCAGTGAATTAAAAAATATTATGTTCTATTATAGAGCCTCCCTGGGTTATGTTACAGTTCTACATTTTTCATGTGCTGCCCATCAACAAAAAGTGTCTGTCGAGGGAAACATTGTGACTTCATATAGCTGTCAAAATACAAGTTTTATGTACTAAACTGGGAATTTCAGAGTATACAAAAGAATTGCAACTTTTAACTCTCAAAGCTCAGCTGATGTTTTACTCTAAGACAAAGATTTTGACTATTACAGTTTCATTTCTTTTGCCAATTCTCCTCAATTACTAGCTTACTAAATACAGGCTGACATTATTTGATAGGGTCCCCTTTCCAAAACATTTTATCAAAAATGATTCAAATTGCCCCTTGCGCAGTACTGAATAATATGCTGATGCTTTGTATAAATATTGATTTTCACTTTCACTGGGTAGTGTACACCACCCTTGCGTCTTACATTTCTAGATACAAGTAGATTCTTTCAGCATAGAAAATACAAATCGTATAC